CCTCAATGTTTTTCTCTTAAAAGAAATACTGAAAACAACTTGAAAACAATAAGCACGATTTTTGTCTTTAAAGCCAGAAATATTTCCCGGCTGGAAATTGCAGTTCTAATGATGTCATATAAATTAATGGAAAAATAGCAGTAGACATTCGCTCTACTGCCAAGTTTTGAAGACTACTTAAGCAAGGCATATTTATTTTAGTGATATGAATATTTAATTTTTCCTTATCTGGAAAGACATTTTAAAGAGTGTTAATCAATATTTTTTCTGGAAATCTTTTAAAGTTTACCTTTGACATCAGTTGTTATCCCCCCAAAGCCTATCTACTTACATCTATTAATATTAGCTTAAACACTAAGGATGTCAACAGTCTATTTTATTAACAACAAACATATTCTAAATTTCCCTAAGTGAGTAAATATAGTGAAGTAGCCAACACATTTATTTATTTAGGTACTGGGGATTGAACCCAGGGGCACTTAACTACTGAGCCACATCCCCAGATGGTTTTATTTTTATTTTGAGTCAGGGTCTTGCTAAGTTGCTTAGGGCCTCACTAAGATGCTGAGGCTGGCTTTGAACTCATAATCCTCCTGCCTCGGCTTCCCGAGCTACTGGAATTACAGATGTGTGCCACTGAGCCCAGCAGCCAATAGGATTGTGAAGGTGAAAAAAATATCCCATCAGCTATAAAAACACTACAAATCTATGCTCATTAAACAGAGTGACACAGTAGAAATGGACAAATAGCTCATCAGAACATAATAAGAAACTCAGAAATTGACCAATGTGTGCATTATAAAAAAGGATTTCACATCCAGGGGGAGATTAATGGCATGGAAACAACACATTATTGACTCAGAAAACAGTAAAGTTGGTTTACTCTCTTGAATCAAAACATAAAAAAGCACATAATAAGTTGAAACAAGTGGTTTTATAATCTTTGTTTCCTTCCACAAGGCAATCAATGAAGTAAAAAGTAACAGGAAAGATATGAATATGCAAAAATTAAAACAAAAATCATTTAAAAATTCTCAAGGTTAACAACAGATTGGAGAAAAATACCATGGCATATATAACCAAGGGCCAATATCTATAATATCTAAGGGGATTTTACTAATTCACATAAAAAAGACAATCCCCCCAAATTGGCCAAACATTTTGAATAAGCAAATCAAAAATAAAATGTTCAGTAAACATAAGTAAAGATGCCCAATCTCATAGAAATCAATGAAACAGAACATTATTGTTTATCCTTTAGAATATAAATCTCCCAACCACTCCCCAAATGCTGACAAGGGTGAGTAAGCAGCTTGGCATGCTCAGCAACTGTGGGTCAGGAAGATAACAGAATAGTATCTTTCAAAAATGTTAAAAAGAAAGAAAGAAAGAAAGAAAAATATCCTGAGACTTAGTCAATCTATTAATGGGACTAATACATAAATACTAGCATGTGTACCCAGAAATATATGTGCAAAATCAAGGTAGCAGTGTTTGATAATGAAAAACGGAAACTCCATAAACATTCATCAATCATGTAACTGTTCAATAATTTATTGTACATTATCTATGAGATGCCACAGAGTCATTCAAATGAGTGTGATATATACTGATATGGAAGGAATTTCTAGATGCTCTGTTTGTGTGTGAGAGGATACATGTAAGCACATGTGTGTACATACACATATACTATTTATGTAGATACATAGAAACATCTACATAGTACCTCAAACCTGTACAAGCGTCCCTGGGGGGAAAGGAAGTAAGTCTGGGAAAGGAGTCAAGGGTGGTTTCATTTTTATATGATAAAATTTTGTACTATTTGAATCCTAAATTAATATATTATTTTTCTACATCAAAATACACATATTAAAGAAGAAATGAGGGGCTGGGGTTGTGGCTCAGTGGCAGAGCACTTGCCTAGCACGTGTAAGGCACTGGGCTCAATTCTCAGCACCACATATAAATAAATAAAAATAAAGGTCCATTGACAACTAAAAAATATATATATATATGTATATATACAAAAAATAAAAAAGAAAAAAAGAAATGAACTGGACTTCTCCCGGTATCCTACTTCTGGTATATTTGTTCACAGTGTTTAACAGAACAGGAGCGGAACCTCTTTCAGAATAAACATTTACTTTTCATAAAATGAAAAATCTGTAAAAATGCATTGTTCTTTTAATTTGGTTATCTTTTGCTGTACTTTTTCCTCATATCATGCTATCAGATGAAAATAAGGTCATTAGATACCATTCTGAATGACAAAGAGTGGGCTGAGAGCAATCATTGCAGCCCAGGGGTCAGGTCTTGAGGGACACAGCACAAGCCCTTTCCCAATTACCCAGAGGCCCTAGCCAGCTCAGTGTCACAAAAATATTCCACCCTTTCTTATGATCAACTTTACTGAGAAGTACATCTTCAGGTGTCTCATTTTAGCATGAACTTTTCCTGACCCCAGAAGTGGCAGGGAGAATGTAAGTCTGGCCGTTACTGGTCCAAGGGTAGATTATAAGAGGAGAGAGCCCTCAAAGAGGGAAAACCACACTTCAAGATGGCAGAAGTCCCTGTGTGCAGATACAACCAAACAGGATATAAGAGGAAACAAACAAATAAAGAAGCAATGTCCCTTAGACACACGGGAGTTTCTTCTGTCCATGAGACTAATGTATGGGGAACAGCTGTGGAGGACATCTATAATAATGGAGGCCACCACGAGTTCCGTGGAAGGAGTTTGCTATTAAATAACGAGTTCCTACTGCTACTTCCTTTACCCAGCACCAAGCTTCCTTTACCCCCACACCACAGGAACAGGAGCACCATGGCGTATGGCTGCCCTACAGAGGCTGTTTCTAACCTACAGCAGCAGCATGTGTTCTCTGAAAAGACGGAACATGGTCTTCCTTCTGTAAGCATCTGTCCTGGTATCTTTTAACCTTAATTCAATTTAAAGATTTGATTTCTGTGCAAGTTTTTAGGAATACACCTGTTATAGAGAGCAAAGCACACACAGCTGAGAGAGAGAAATAAACAGGACACCTGTGGTGAGCGGGCATCAGATAATATGGTCACTCATGTTGGTCCACTCTAGTGTTAGTAGTCTGTGAAACTGAAGGGCACTGGGAGGAGAAAGAGTAGGATTATAGTTGCTACTGTCTGGATCTCAGGAGTCCTCCAAAGGCCTGTGTATTAAAGGCTTAGTACTCAGCTTGGCCCTATTAGGAGGTGGTGGAAAGTTTAAGAGGTGGGTCTTGGGGTAGGTCTTCCAGTCATTGAGGGCATGTCATTCAAGGGGTTGTAGGACTCTAGTCTCTTCCTGTCTCTTTCTGCTCCCCAGCAAAGAGGTGAATGGTTTTGACACTTGCTGCCACCATGATATGCTGTCTCTCTACAGGCTCAAAAGCAACAGGGCCAACAAATCATGGGTTCACACATCCAAAACTGTGGGTCAAAATCAACCTTTTCTCTTTTTAAATTGTTATCTCATATAAAGAACTCAAAAAGCTGAGCACCCAAAACAAACAAACAAACAAATAACCCAATCAATAAATGGGCCAAGGACCTGAACAGACACTTCCCAGAAGATGATATACAATCAGTCAACAAATATATGAAAAAATGTTCATCATCTCCAGCAATTAGAGAAACGCAAATCAAAACCACTCTAAGATTTCATCTCACTCCAGTCAGAAGGGCAGCTATTATGAAGACAAACAACAATAAGTGTTGGCGAGGATGTGGGGAAAAAGGTACACTCATCCATTACCGGTGGGATTGCAAATTGGTGCAACCAATATGGAAAGCAGTATGGAGATTCCTTGGAAAACTGGGAATGGAACCACCATTTGACCCAGCTATCCCTCTCCTCAGTCTATACTCAAAGGGCTTAAAAGCAGCATACTACAGGGACACAGCCACATCAATGTTTATAGCAGCACAATTCACTATAGCTAAACTGTGGAACCAACCTAGATGCCCTTCAGTAGATGAATGGATAAAAAAATGTGGCATATATACACAATGGAATATTACTCAGCAATAAAAGAGAATAAACTCATGGCATTTGCAGGTAAACTGATGGCATTGGAGAAGATAATGCTAAGTGAAGTTAGCCAATCCCTAAAAAACAAATGCCGAATGTTTTCTCTGATATAAGGAGGCTGATTCATAGTGGGGTAGGGAGGAGGAGCATGGGAGGATTAGATGAATTTTAGATAAGGCAGAGGAGTGGGAGAAAAAGGAAGGGGGCAAGGGGTTAACAAGGATGGTAGAATGTGATGGACATCATTATCCAAAGTACATGTATGAAGACACGAATTGGTGTGAACATAATTTATATACAACCATAGATATGAAAAATTGTGCTGTATATGTGTAATAAAAATTATAATGCATTCTATTGTCATTTATTTTAAAAAATCAATTAAAAAATAAAAAAAAATAATGGGAATCTAACCTAACAGTCTTCTGTGGTTCCAGAAAAACTGGATTACCATGCTAAGCTGTATCATTTGAAAATTCAGTTTCTATCCTAAATTATGTCTACTGTGAGCCCAAGGTGACACATATGTGCCCACACTGACTGTCACCAGCATCTGTTCTGGGCATAGAACTTTAAAAGCCGAAGCAGAATGAACACTGTTGACACTTGTTTTCTGGCCCAGAAAATGAAACTAAAAAGGGAACCAAAATGTAGCCCTTAGGAATGATTCAGACTTCTTTGAAAGGAAAAGAAATATTTAATTTTAGAAATTCTTATTCAGCCTGGTTAGTTACAGTGTTATTCATAATCTTATCATTATCTTCAAAACTGACATACTGACTGTTAGGTCACCAGTGAAAGCAAACAAGGATGAATGTGGGAGAAACAGAAATCTTCATGAGAAGATTTTATGCTAAAACTATTTAAAATTTTTATTTGTGATTAAAATAGACCTAACATAAAATTTGCCATCTTAAGTATCTTCAGCATGCTACACTGCATTTTGACTACTTACCTTGTAAACTGTCGACTCTCTTCATGTACTTCCATTTCTGTGCTTTTAAATTCATTTAGTTCTTTCCTTATGGCTGCCTAAACAGGAGAAAAAAAATAGGCAAGTACACTTATTACTTGGGTCCCATATTTCTCCAAGTCTATACAGCATCAATGAAACAGACATCCTCTTAAGGAATGGCCAGGACAAAGGGATTCCTAATTCCCATGAGGTAAAGGTAGAATAATAATTGTAATATCACATTATGGGTCAAGCATCCCTAATATGAAAATCTGAAATTAGAAATATGAAAAATCTGAAAGCTTTGGAGTGCCCACACCATGCCACAAGTGGGAAATTCCACATCTGACCTCATGTGATCATTGCAAAAGGCAAGTGCAGTAACGATATTGGAGAAAGTGACCTTGAGGCTTGGTGTAGAAGAAACATAAGTGAATTTTGTGTTTAGACTTGGGCTCTGTCTCCATCATATCTCGTTATATGTATGGAAATATTCCAAAGTAGGAAAAAATTCCCCAACCAGAGAAACTTCTGGTCCCAAGCATTTCAGATGAGGGATATTTAAGGTGTAAATCCAAACTAAAATCAGGACTGACCTCTTCAAGTGTCTTTGACAACGGGGGTGGGGAGGGGAGCCTTGGCTAGACTCATGGCCCAGCATACAGAATATTCCCCACCTCGATGACCACAAGAAAGTGCTGGGCATGAGATTTTTCTGAGAAATAGTATCAGATTCCTATGAAAGTTCTGCACTTATTACCGCCCACAATAACATAGTTTTGACGAGCTGCCACAGAGCTACTGGGAAAGCAGTTGCTATTTATTCTTTAATATTGAAAGTTTAGATAAACAGAACTTGAAATTTCAGCACAGTGGGCAAAGCAACTCAAGGAAAATATCAAATCAGATGCATTACTATTTAAAGAACACATAACCTGTGCCATGTAAACTTTGGTGTACAAAGAGATGCTTATGCCATTCAGAGCAAAAAGCTGAGACAGTCGTCAAAATGTTAACTTTAGTTTATCCGTTAACGAACAGTGACTGGATGGCGCATGATTTTAGGTTTCAAGTTTTTGCTTATTTTTATTTCCTCATTTTTTCTACGAAGAATGTCTTATTCATTTTTTTTTAAAGTACTAATAAAACACCCCTGAAACCTCTAGGCAAAAAATGGACTCTTCAGTCAAAACACAGAGTGACAATATAAATCACAGAGAGTGATTTTGCTGAGAGATAAGAAAATCTGTTTTGTGGTTGGAAAATAATGAATTTTAGAAGAGGGAGAAGACAGAAGAAAGCCTGGAGGGCCCTCTCCCCCCACGGATCACAGTGAAATCCACAAGCTTTCCCGCCCATGTGCCTTCCAGTGTTCTGTGTAAATCCTGTTGACACAGACCTCTCTTCTCCCCAAATACATTCCTCAGCCCCTGTAGTCTCTATGGGGAATCTGGGTGTGGAAACGGTGGTAATAATTCACACTACTGATTTCTGGAAGAGCTAAAGCAAGCAGAGAAATGTTTGTGGGCCTGTGTCCTCTCAGACACGGCTGTTTTTCTCACTGCCTGTAAAAACTGATTCAGAACCAGAAGCTGGCAAAGCTGAAGATGCCCCATATCATTCACAATTCACATCTAGGGGAATTTCTTCTTTGAAAGAAAGTATATTAATTTGAAGAGGGGCAGAGAATCCTGCCAATGTTCACTTTAAATTTCTTCTCCAAATGTGAGGTCTTACTAGAGGATGTGAGAAGCTTCACGCTTGAAGTCAGAAGACATGGATTCTAGACCTGGCTGCTCCTTCAATAGCAGTGTGGCCCTCGGGGAGTCACTCTGCTCCCAAGCCACAGTTTTCTCATCGCTGCAGCTTGAATAAGTGTTCCCCAAAGGTCCATGTGTTAAAGGTTTATTCTTTAGGGTAATGCTATTGGGAGATGCTTGGGACCTTTAGGAGGCAGGTCCTTATGGGAGGTACTTAGATCACTGGTGTTATGCCTCCGAAGAATCTGGCCTGTGTTCTCTTTGATTTTCAGGTTCATGATGTAAGTGGTTTGCTCCACCATATAGTACTCTCCATTGCCATCTAGCGCCCCCACCAGAGGCCCATATCCATGGAGTCACTTGATCTTGAACTAGAGCCTCCAGAACCGTGAGACAAAATAATCCTTTTCTCTTTATAAGATATTGCCTCAGGTATTTTGTTATAGTGATAGAAAACACTATGACATTCACCTGGAAAATTCAAATGAGAATTCCTCACAATATTATGAGTACTAATTCAAGGACATATCTGGAAGTACTTTGTATACTATAAAGCTATCAATAATGTCATTATTGTGAGGCATTCATAAATAAATTATCTGGGTTTGTGACTGTGACTTATAATGCCTTCATTTTCATTTATAGAAAAATTGATTCCTAGAACCAGAAGTTGGAAAAACTGAAGATGCTCCATTCCCAGTCACAATGCACATCTAAAAGAAGTTCTTCTTTGAAAGGAAGTATTTTCATTTGAATAGGGGCAGAGACTCCTGCAAATGTTCATTTAAAATTTCTAGATACTCTAAATACTAGAGTTCAAGAAGATGTCACTGAAGAAGACTCAAAGATATATAAGACAAAGTCCTCACTTGCAATAGTAGGTTGCCTATTGTTCTAAGAGTTTGGCAAAAACCAATGAAAGCATTCTGAGAGAATCAACTAGCATATGGAACTTAAAAACTAGCACAATTGTAAATTGTGTGTGACACATCCTTTATATTAATAAAATGTACAATTCTTTAATGACCATATATCTACACACATGCTTTTTTATGCAGAGAGCCAAACACTTAGGGACACACCCCACATTCTCATCTGTAATGTGACCTTTCCATTTCCTCATCAAGAGTGGAGTCTTGCTCTCCAGCCTTGAATCTGGGTGAGTCCTATAACTGTTTTGGACAACAAAACACAATTGAGGTGATACTGTGTCTGTCAGTCTCGGGTGTAGCCCTTTCCTAGCCTGGTACCTTTTGCTTATTAGAAGTCAGCTATCATGTAAAAACATGTGACTACTCTCAGTAAACCACACTGGAGAAATCCCAGGTACAAGGAAAGGCTTTAGAGGATGAGACCCTATGTAGACAGGGGGTGGTGGAGAGGGGAGAGGGGGCAGGATGAGACAGTAAGTGAGTGCACCAAGGAGCCAGAGGGCACAGGCATGTTCCTGGAAGTGGAATCTAGCACTAGCATTTTACCTGATGCCATGCACATCAGAAACAACCCTCTGAGCTGGGATGTTCCCTCATCCTACCTCAAGTGAGCAAAATAAAATAGTTGATTTAAGCCACTTGGCTTTGGGGTTGTTTGTTGAAAAGCTGTGGTTAACGTCCGTCAATCCTGTTCCGTAACTTTTATCTTCCAGAAGATAAAATCGAGGCCTAGACACTCATGTGACCTGTTGGAGATCAAGTGTGCACTAAGTGACAAGGATGGGTCCCCTATATGGGCCTCAAGCCCTACACACTTTCCAGTAAAATGAGCCTAACTCATCCAGATAATTGCCTCAGATCTTTATGCTCTGTGTGCTGTCTTGTAATTAAAAATCATAAGTCAGTTATATGAGTGATGTGGCAATAAATGTTATGTAAAATTGCAGGGTCTAGTTGAGAAATATATCAGAAAGATATAACTACAGGACATAGAAGAAATGCAATATTTATTTTAAAAAATTCACTGAAGAATGAATTCCAGGAGTTAATAAAGAGAATGATTTCTTGAGAGAGATTAAAAAGAGGGGAAAAAGTAAGTAATTAAGACTTTTTATTATTGGTGAAATGCATGTACATAATCTTAAATTTCTTCTTTACAAATGAAACTAGATTTTAGCCCTAATACTTTTCACATAACTATAAATGGGACTGATTTTGTTGAAAGATATGAGATAGAAAAACGTGGGCTGAAATAGTGGGGTTGGAGGACAAACGGTGCTGGGTTGGATCACCATGGGAAGCCACTGAGAGACACAACCAACCAAAAACCACCAGGAGATAGCACTGAGACTAGATATGTAGTTAAATTTGGTATTATGGGGCTGGGGTTGTGGCTCAATGGTCGAATGCTTGCCTAACATGTGTGAGATACTGGGTTTGATTCTCAGCACCACATAAGATTAATAAATAAAATAAAAAGTCCATCAACAACTAAAAAATATTAATTTTTTTTGGTATAATGAGAATTAAAGGAAAAAGGAAATGAAAATGACTAAAACTAGGTATAAAATTGACCAGTGGTGAGTAGTAACAGTTCTGCTTCATCAGCCCGTCAGTTAAGGGGGCATCCTGACAAGAAGCACCAGCAGATTTTTTGACTACTATGCAATCTTCTCAAATAGCAAGGATGTGAGACCAGAATTAACTAAAATTTCCATTTTGATATGCTTTAACTTTTCCAGTAGAATTCTGATGTGCAGCACAGAGTGGACTTCTTGACTACTCATTAGTTCAATGCCATGGGAGGGTAAACAGACTACCTTTTGCTACCAAGGCAAATGAGAGCTGGCCAAAGACTATACTATAGAGGGCTAAAATCTCAGTCTTTCCTAAGACCTATGTAGATAGTGCTTTCCTGAAAAGACAGTATGTTCTGCTCATCCTTGTATCACTAGAGTCTGGGGGAATATTTAACATATTTAACATGTAAGGGCTTTAATGAATCATTACTGAGTGATCCACTGGGCAAATCCATGTATCATCTGAAAAAATTTGCATTCTCTTTCACTAGAAAATTTTACACTAGACTATAAGTTGAGGCTTTAATAAATAATGAAAATGTCTCCAATGGGGTACAAAGCTTCAATTCTAAACCTAATTATGAATGTAATAATGGTAAGATTATAAATGTAATACTGATTATGAATGTAATACTGATGAGTTGGGTCAAGACAGATATTCCATGTAATTCTCAATAGATATAATTGGCTCTGCTTTACTAGTGAGGGCACTAGTTAAACAACTTGGCCAGAAAACAAGTGGCTAAGAATCACACCCAGCTGCCCAGCTCCAAAGTGGGCTGTCTTCTCTCCATCCTGGATCTTC